AAATGGAACAAGAGAATAAGAATTTGTTTGAAGAGTGCTTTTAAACAATTGAATTTTTTTTTAAAAATTTTTTTTTTTAAACCAATCCTTGGTAAAATACAAGTTAATTTTGAAAAAAAACACTTAAAGTGTTTCTTGTAAGCCGCACATAACTAATGCTTCTTAAAGTAAGCACATAATGTTTTTGGTCTAAAATCATTCTCCCAAAAAACGTTTTCAATCATTTAAACACACTTTTCAAACGAGTTCTAAACCACCCACAAATTAGCAAATGATCATTAAAAATCATTCAAAGCCTAATATTAATTAATTAACCACGAGCTGGTGGTACAATGGTAAAGGACAGATTACGAAACTAGAGGTTACGAGTTCGAAACCCACTACTGGTGTGAAAGTTAGACTTGTGACCAGGAAGAGACTGAAATGCCTTTGTGAGTCTTCCCAACCTCTGGAAGAGGTGGATAATCGTGACTTACCATTAGACTTGTGACCAGGAAGAGACTGAAATGCCTCTGTGAGTCTTCCCAACCTCTGGAAGAGGTGGATAATCGTGACTTACCATTAGTTGTCCTCCTTTAAAAAAAAAATATATATATATATATATATATATATTAATTAACTAACTGATACAACAACAGAAGATTGCATACTGCATAATGTCAGTCACTATCGGGAAATATGGAAACATAACCAGAATTTGAACCTATATAGAATTATAGTTATTATTTTATGTTTATGATAATTATAACAAAAAATTAATGTAAAAATACTAACATACCCCTTAATGATTAAAAACTTTCTCATTCTCTCCGATTTTCTCAGCAACCAAACACCAACAACAACAACAACAAAACATCACCCAATAAAGTATTAACGTACCTGATAGTTTTGGGATTAAAGAGTTGGAAAACTTGCAATCTACGTTTGAAACTGAAATCTGCGTTTGACACTGAAAAAGATCTAATGCCCAACAAGTTTTCGTTTTGATGATTTGGGTGTCCGTGCAGGTGGGCGTAGAGAAACCCCATGGGCCAAAACCGCCATTGGAGGTCTGCTTTCTCATCGTCCCTGCGTTTGGATGAGGGGTGAGCTGCAGAATGCCCGGCAGGCCATCCGGTGGGCCGCCAACTACCACCTCAAAGTTACTGCGCACCCAGGCACCATTTATATTCAGGTAGTTTATTACCCACCCACAGCATTCTTCAAATTTCTCTGTTTTTCTTCTAAAAAATAAAATATTACGAGCTATTTTTTGTGGTTCTTTTGGAAGATGCGGAGGCTATAAGCTCAGTGGCAGTTGGAAGAAGGATTGGCGACTCTGGTTCCATTTGTTTCGATGTGAGTGGTCAGCGAGGGACTAGAGTCTTCAGAGGTATATGCTGGTTAAAGAGGGACTGAGATACTCAGGGAGTCGTGGGAAGAGGACGAACTTGGCTTGCGGCTAACAAAATTGGATATTTTGGTCGTGGCATAGGAATTTAAGGTTATATTAGTATTTTCACATCAATTTTTTATTATAATTATCATACATTTAAAGGTGTGACTATAATTCTATATATGAGATCCATTACTTTTCCAAATTTCCTGACACTATCCACCAAAACATTTCACTGCCAAATGTACATATATTTACAACAGCATCATATGGAACAAGATACCCTAAAAACACCCAACTCCGACGACCCACCACAATGAATATTCACAGATTCCTAATCCTACCCACTACCAAACACAGGACAATGACATAATTGCCATTGCACCTTTTTTCAATTTCCAGTCAAATGTAGTCTAGCTAGCTCTAAAAAACGAGCTACCAATTAGCCGATGTCCTCTTCTCCTCCTGCTTCCAACTTCAATCTTCTCTTCCTCCTTTTTGCCCAAAAATCAAGTCTTCCCTCCCTCCCTCCCTCCCTCCACAAACAATCGACCAAAAGACCTGCCCCGAAAATCAACAAAACCAACGCGTATTTAAAAAATCAACAACCTGACCGATGTTAGTCCGAGCTGATGACCGTCCCCCCTTCGACTTCTAGTGACGACATTGGAAGTCCGCAGCCTGCGCTGATTTTCTTCACGTCTTGACTCGAACAAATAAAGATCCTTTTCACCATGTCACAGAACTCCCTGCAAAGATAACGACGCAAAGGTTTTAAACTAAACAAGGAAACATGTTAGGAAAATCCAAATACAAACTCCTTGATTTTTTTTATTTTTTTATTTTTTTGTAATAAAGTATACTTACGACCACGGGTCATCGCCCATAAGCGTCAACTTTCTACTTCTTTTCAAGTTTCTTTTGTTGTGATTTACTAAGCACAGGAGTAAAAGCATCATCACTAGTGTTAACTAGTAATAAGAGAGGATCCCTATGAAAAGTATTAACTAGGGGACATATGGTTTAGGACGATAAACTTGACAAGTTCTTGAGCGTCCTCGTTGATGAGCCTTGTCCCTCTTTTCTAGCACCTCATTATGATCTTTCAAGCTCTATATTTGTTCGTAGTATGACCTATAAGGCCGCTATGACCACAAGTCGGAGGTAGATTCTCATAAATAATGTCAACAGAAAAGCCATGTTAACGTTCAACCATAATAAACGTAAGTAAATCTGTAGAAAGATCCACATCCACTAGAATTATAGGATGATATCCAAATAAGTTTTCCTTTTTAGCATGATTGAGTACCCATACCCCAAGCAATTTCCATACGAATAGGAGGGTGCCAATCTTCCTGGCTTAACCCATAAATTTGAATCGATACACGTGCACCGGGTTTGAAAAAGGATGTCACTAGGTTGAAATCCGGTTGCCATTAAGATAACCTAAAAAGACCAAACTGAAGCGTACAAGTTCCACCACCCCCACACACTCCGCATTTCTTCTTCTTTGGAGAAATGAAGATCAAAATATCCCTTAGGACCCTCCCCAACGGAATCAATTGCCAAGAATTTGGAATCCTCCATAAAGACGCCAGATCATTCTTAATAGCATCGATTTCCATTGGTACCCTCCCTTCCTTTAATAAAAGCCTTCCAATGACATTGGTTCGACATGAACGGCTGCTCCCGAAAAAGATTCTCACTAATCTTGCCATAACTCGCATCACCACGAACAGCGGGCGCAGGAAGTTGTCTAAGATTAAGAACTGAGAAATCTCCATGGACATAAGGGGTTGTTTGCCGGGCTAGCAACTAACATCTTGGACCATAAAACTTGATTGAATTGGCTCAGTTGGATCCGTCATTTGATCCAATCATATCGGGATTCGAAATTTAGTAATCCAATCAGCTACAAGAAATTAACAACCGAGAAAAATTAGATTCGATTTATTGGTTTCTAACTCATTATTTACAAAATTCAATCGAATTTGATCGGTTTGGGCAGATTGGAATTAGTGATCCAATCCGCTTAACCTAACCCATGGAAATGGAACAAGAGAATAAGAATTCGTTTGAAGAGTGCTTTTAAACAATTGAATTTTTTTTTTTAAAACCAATCCTTGGTAAAATACAAGTTAATTTTGAAAAAAAAAAAAAAAAACAGTTAAAGTGTTTCTTGTAAGCCGCACATAACTAGTGCTTCTTAAAGTAAGCACATAACTAGTGCTTCTTAAAATAAGCACATAATGTTTTTGGTCTAAAATCATTCTCCCAAAAAACGTTTTCAATCATTTAAACACACTTTTCAAACGAGTTCTAAACCACCCACATATTAGCAAATGATCATTAAAAATCATTCAAAGCCTAATATTAATTAATTAACCAAGAGCTGGTGGTACAGTGGGGAAGGACAGATTACGAAACTAGAGGTCACGAGTTCGAAACCCACTACTGGTGTGAAAGTTAGACTTGTGATCAGGAAGAGATTGAAATGCCACAGATTACGAAACTAGAGGTCACGAGTTCGAAACCCACTACTGGTGTGAAAGTTAGACTTGTGATCAGGAAGAGATTGAAATGCCTCTGTGAGTCTTCCCAACCTCTAGAAGAGGTGGATAATCGTGACTTACCATTTGTTGTCCCCCTTTTAAAAAAAAAAAATATATATATATATTAATTAATTAATTAACTAACTGATACAACAACAGAAGATTGCATACTGCATAATGTCAGTCACTATCAGGAAATATGGAAAAATAACCAGAATTTGAACCTATATAGAATTATGGCTATCATTTTATGTTTATGATAATTATAACAAAAAATTGATGTAAAAATACTAGCATACCCTTAATGACTAAAAACTTTCTCATTCCCTCCGATTTTCTCAGCAACCAAACACCAACAACAACAACAAAACATCACCCAATAAAGTTTTAAAGTACCTGATAGTTTTGGGACTAAAGAGTTGGAAAACTTGCAATCTACGTTTGAAACTGAAATCTGCGTTTGACACTGAAAAAGCTCTAATGCCCAACAAGTTTTCGATTTGATGATTTGGGCGTCCGTGTAGGTGGGCGTAGAGAAACCCCATGGGCCAAAACCGCCATTGGAGGTCTGCTTTCTCATCGTCCATGCGTTTGGATGAAGGGTGAGCTGCAGAATGCCCGGCAGGCCATCCGGTGGGCCGCCGACTACCACCTCAAAGTTACTGCGCACCCAGGCACGATTTATATTCAGGTAGTTTATTACCCACCCACAGCATTCTTCAAATTTCTCTGTTTTTCTTCTAAAAAATAAAATATTATGAGCTATTTTTGTGGTTCTTTTGGAAGATGCGGAGGCTATAAGCTCAGTGGCATTTGGAAGAAGGATTGGCGACTCTGGTTCCATTTGTTTGGATGTGAGTAGTCAGCGAGGGACTAGAGTCTTCAGAGGTATATGCTGGTTAAGAGGGACTGAGATACTCAGGGAGCCGTGGGAAGAGGACGAACTTGGCTTGTGGCTAACAAAATTGGATATTTTGGTCGTGGTATAGGATATAAGGTTATATTAGTATTTTCACATCAATTTTTTTTTATTATTATTATCATAAACTTAAAGGTGTGATTATAATTCTATATGAGATCCAAATTTTGACTACTTTTCCAAATTTCCCAACACTATCCACCAAAACATTTCACTGCCAAAAGTACATATATTTACAACAGCATCATATGGAACAAGATACCCTAAAAACACCCAACTCCGACGACCCACCACAATGAATATTCACAGATTCCTAATCCTACCCACTACCAAACACAGGACAATGACATAATTGCCATTGCACCTTTTTTCAATTTCCAGTCAAATGTAGTCTAGCTAGCTCTAAAAAACGAGCTACCAATTAGCCGATGTCCTCTTCTCCTCCTGCTTCCAACTTCAATCTTCTCTTCCTCCTTTTTGCCCAAAAATCAAGTCTTCCCTCCCTCCCTCCCTCCACAAACAAACGACCAAAAGACCTGCCCCGAAAATCAACAAAACCAACACGTATTTAAAAAATCAACAACCTGACCGATGTTAGTCCGAGCTGATGACCGTCCCCCCTTCGACTTCTAGTGACGACATTGGAAGTTCGCAGCCTGCGCTGATTTTCTTCACGTCTTGACTCGAACAAATAAAGATCCTTTTCACCATGTCACAGAACTCCCTGCAAAGATAACGACGCAAAGGTTTTAAACTAAACAAGGAAACATGTTAGGAAAATCCAAATACAAACTCCTTGATTTTTTTTATTTTTTGATTTTTGGATTTTTTTGTAATAAAGTATACTTACGACCATGGGTCATCGCCCATAAGCATCATATCTCCTTCATTATCAGTAAAGACAATTTGCCACATGTTGCCGGGGCGAATCTGTCCCTTAATGTCAAACATCTCCTCCAGTTCATCTATAAGCTGATCATATCCTTCCAACATCGTCAAGTCCACTGCTCGGCCAACAGCTATCCCCTGCATTTGAACCTTTTGGGATATACAAACGCCATAACTCAGCACTTGAGCTCAAGACTTCAAATCTATAACATGAATACTTGATATTTCAGAATAAAAAACAAACAAAAATAATTCTACTGTGAGCACCTTGGTGCGACTTCTGGCGGAAGTAGAGCAACTCTGCTTGCTTTGTGTCTCCTTAGGTGATACTTGCAACTGTCCAGGTTTGCTTTCTTTAGAAGCCTTTGAAAGGTTAGATTTCTGGTCTGACTCAGCAGCTAACTTGTTACTAACACGTCCTTCAGTGGTTCCAGTAGATCCACTGATTGGTTGTGCAGGTGCCTTCTCCATGACAGGGAAGCATGTCGAATGACTAGTAAAGTCTATACCAAAAATTCGGCAACTAGTACCCATCTCAGTTTTCTTCTCTTTTTCAACATGGTCAAACATTGAGTCATTTTTAGGCTTTGATGAGTTTGGAGTTGAATATCCAGAGAAAACAGGCCAAGCAGAAACACTTTTACTATCCTCCATTGTTTCCTGGAACATGTGCGGAGAACCACCTGCCTGAGAAGACAACCATCCCCCATCAGTCTGAGTCCTTGGAACAGAGTTGTTATTGCTGATCACGTCAGCCTGTTGATGATGCCATACAACATGATTTTCACTTCTTTTGCCTTCAGCAGCGACACTCAGTGTTGACATATCATGGGGCTGTGTCAGCACAGAATTCCACGTAGCTGACCCTGTTGAACTCATTGCATCTAATATCCATATAAGTTAGAATATTCTAGCCCAAAAAACCTAATCCAAGGCAAAGGATAAAAAGGGGGGAAATGTTGCTGTTTAGTTGGTTACTAGGAAACAGAAAGAAAAAGGTTCCTACCTAGAGCTGGGATTTCAGTGGGTGGTCGGGGCCTTTTGTTCTTCACCACAACAGATGGTTGAGGAAGGCTCGGAATTACAGACGCCACAAAAGGTTCAATCTCCCAAGGCGATACCCTATCAGGCCTTGGAATGGATGCAGACTCATCCCAGTGAACCTGGAAGATATTTCAGAAGAGCAAATTTATGTCAGAATTTTCATTTAACGTCCAGTACAAGGAGAAGGGGAAGAAAGGAGAAAGGAACAAGATAACAAGAAAAAGAAAAGGAAACCAGTACTAAGAGTTTACTTTAAGTGACCGCCATTTTGAATCTGCCCAGTGAGGAGATATATCTTCAAGACCAACTATTGTGCCTGAAAACCTGGAAAAATGAAAGAACATAGAACAAAATACATTAGAAAGCCCATAAACAAATTAAACCGAGTAAACATGCTATAGCACTGCTGCATTTGACTTCTACCTTCTCTCAGGAGCATCCTCCCCCTCAAACCTCATTTTGAACCTCATTCCGACTGAAAACTTATTGTTGACAGCCTCCAAATACTTGTTCAAACCGATAATGAACTGACTTGTCCTGGACATTTCAAAAGGAAATCAAGATATAGACCATGAGAAATCCTGTGTTAAATGATTCAGCGCAACAAACATTTTAAATTCTGTAGGTTAATATAATACGACATACCTTGGCTTATAGTACACGACAAAAAGAGTTTGGGTTGCAACTGCATGAGATGCAGTTGCGAGAACCCCTACGTGCATGCTTTGACTCGAGATCACTGATGATGGCATGCTGCTTTGTTGACGAGCAAGACGTCTAACTCCAACACGTAACTCCCCGTTGCCCCCTCTAGGAAACCAATTTTCTACAGATTAGTGAATGTTTGACTGAAAAATATACATGCCTCACGTACGATATGCAAAATTCAATTTTCCAGGCTACATTGTTAAATTTAGTTGACAAAAACAGTAAGAGAGAAGGGACAAGGACAAATGGCAATGTTTACCTGAGAAATACAAAGGAATCCCCGGCACTTAATCTCTTGGAGGTGACAAAAGTACTCCATCCCGTTGTAAGCAAGTGCCTCCGTGGTTGACCTGTTCAGTTAATCACAGATAGATGAACCGTGAGCAACAATCGATAAAGTTAATTGATACATCATTCACCATGTTTGAATTTTTTTCATACAAGATGTCCAACTCATGATCTCCTCCTAATAATTATGAAATCCCGCATTTGGGACAATTGCAAGAGTGCAGGGAAAATGAAGTACATCACCTCTGAAAATATGCTTAAATCGCCACTCGTAACCATGAAGATCCTTGGCAACCAATTCCTGAGTTGGGGTTGCCTGGGTCATGTCCTGAAAAAGAAATTGACCCATGGTGAAAAGGTACAGACATGAAATCAAATGAAAGAAATAATGAGACCAAGAAAGAACAGCCAAAACAAAAGCTAGAATAGAAAATACATATACCAGTGCAGGAAGGCATTCAGTGGCGTGTTTCCGGAGAACAGAAAACCCGCCATGGGTGCTTGTATCAGAGGCAGTTAAGACCTTGCAGAATGAGTGAACTGCAGGTTTTTGAGGTTCTGGAAGGCATGGATCAGGACTAGTAGGCTCCGTTTGCTAAACATATAAACGTATTAATGTTAATAATGACAAAGAAATATTGCTCAGACAGCGAAAATCTAATCAGGAAGTTCATTTGGTTCTTACATTTGCATCCGGGATTAAAGTAATCTGTGCATAAACCTCATCTGTTTCCTGCTCAGCCTACAATTGTAGACAACTAAAGGTAAGATACAGAACAATTTCACAAATTATTCCCAACATGTTTGGTTACTGAGAAAATCCAGGAAATTGAAGATATAAATTTTAAAAATTTTAAAGTTGAAGACTTTCCAATCATTACACCCCCTAATCAGCTGGAGATGAAATCAGCTAACAAATCCAGCTGATCTGAGTTATCATTTTCCATGAATCAGAAACAAAAGTTTTCTACTTCCAATCTTCCATTTTCTCAGCAACCAAACACAAATTAAAGAAAACAAAGAGGAAATACCAATAGGGTCACGTTAACAACGCGGCAAATAATCTTCGGGGGAAGATTGAACTGCGGAATCCCTTGATTCAGTTCCTGATTTGTTGGTGTTGACGCCTCCAGCTAAAACATAAGCCCCAAAAATAGCAAAAAAACCTTCAATTTCGACGAAAAGATTATAATCCCATAAGCAGAAACACAAAATTAAATAAAAATAAAAAAGGAAGATGGAAAACTCACTTGTTCCATGTGCCCCTGTGGAAAGTAGAAGACTCTCTCCTGGACGCGAGGCACATCGACTAGTGGGCCCGCGCAGGCCTTCCATAGCTCCGGATACAGATCGCCGCCTGCAAAACAAAACACCCAAACAAAAATGGGAAGGAAAAAAGGTTTAATTTTCCGGGAAAATCCGAGAAAGTGTGAGAAAACCAACAGCCATTTCACCTTCCCGATTCGCCATCGTTGAAGTCGTACCCTCCCGAGTCAACAAATTTCACAATTGCCACAACAAAAGCTCAGATAATCTCTCGATTCTGATTCTCTCTCTCTGTCGCTGTCTCTGTCTGTGTCTCTCTCTCTCTCTCTTTCTCTCTCTCTCTCTTCGGTCTAAGCAGACATAGCTGAGCTGAATGTATAGATATAATTAAGCACACTAATGACTCCTTAATGAGCCGTTAATACGATTTTAATCACACAAAGCTCCCACCACTTCCACTCTTTCTCGCTTCACACACTCTTCGTGTAACGATCGCTGATCGATAAGAACCGTTACGCCGAAACCACCAAACCGTTACAATACCGCTATCTCTGCTCGGAAAACCGCCTCTCTCCCTCCCTCTCTCTCAAAAAACTCTCACACCCCCCTCTCTCTCCAAAAACACTCTCACACCTCTCGACAGGAAATCCAGTAGAAGAAAACGCCGTTACAGAGGATCCCAAATCGCTTTGCGCGCGTCTTATTATACGCGACTTTGTGTTGGATTTAACTCTGACCCTCTCTCCTCCCTCCACTGTTCTCTCTCCTCCTTTCTGTGTAACTGAACTAACCGTAGTTAGAGGATTAACAGGAGGGTGGGTTAACCGGACGGAAAGGTGGGGCTCTGCGGGGTGTAAAGGAGCAGAAACACAACGGCGTTTCGAAACGGCCGGTTTTTTTTATAAAAAAAAGTTTTAATACATAATGTATTATATAAATAATGTTATAAAGACCAAATGATATAGTTGTGAATAATTGAATTACATTAACTTTGGTTAACGTACTTATTTTTTAGTACTGACGTGTCATTTGGTTTTTAAATTGGTTTACCACGCATTACCCTATTTATACTATGCAATGGAGGAATTGACAAGTCTGGCAATATGGTAATCATAATAATTTAGTTCAAATTCATCTTTAACAACAATCGACTTTAAAACATGTTACTTATAATATCGGTAAATTGTAATACTAAATAAAATAAGGATTAAGTACTATAAACCCATACCTTTCAATGTCATTCTAAATTGGTCTCAACATTTTTAAACATTACAAACAAGTACACAACCTATTGAAAATTTCACATTCGTTAAGCCCCAATTAAATTTCTGTTAAATTAAGTAGGGCTTACATTGTCTCCTACATAAATACAAGGTCAAGGAGAATGACTTCTACTAAATAACGGTCACCATCACTCCCTTCAGACCATCACCCCCCTCTTGATCTTCATTTTTATTTTCCATTTTATTGTGAAATTTGTTTATTTTATTTTTTAACTTTTCATCTTCATATTTTTAAGTTATTATTATTATTTTAGTGTTCAAGTAAGCAAATAAGTGTAACCTATTCTTGCCACATGTACATTTAATGGAAAAATTAATTGGATGTTTGAAATATTTAAAAATGTTGAGACAAAATTGAAATGACACTAATAAGTTTGGGGATTTTTTTAAACAATGATATTATCTACATTATGGGAAAGGGGGTGGGCTTTGCCTCACAATGGGCTAACAATAATGTGGTTCAAATTCGTCTTTGGCGAGAATCGAACCTAACCTCTCACTTACAAATGAAAAGGAATACTATTAGACCGTAGTACTAAATAGCAAAAAAATTTGGGGATTTAGGTACTTAATAAATAGTGAATTTTCATTATCAATGATTCATGTGATGTGAAGGGCGCTTAGGGATGCGTGTGGTTTGGGATATTGGAGAGATGTTAAGTCGGGTGTGTCATTCCATTTGTTGTCGTCCCTTTTGTTGTCTGCTCCGAAGCAGGCAACAGGGTTGGCTCGAGTTAACCCATGGAGCTGAATTTTTATTTATTTAATTTATTTTTTGTTAATTTAACTTTTGGCTTGATAATTACATTACATGCCACTAGGTAATGAGGGTGGGACCCCCGAAACACGTGGTGACTATTTGGGTCTTGATTGGGTTTTAATCATCTTTTCTTTGTCCCCAGACAATATGTGAGCGCTTCAGGGTTCCATGGCGATGTGTAATTTACCCTTCTTATTTTAACTCCCACTTAATCTTTTTCCTATCTGACTATGATGATGTGGCAACATTTTTGTTTAGGCCTAATTGGATTGTTAGTTCATGTGGTGATAAGATAGTTGCAAGATAGCTCATGTGGTTACAAAATTAGGATTTAAGCTTTTATGGTGAAGTTTGTTAGGATTTAAGCCCAAAATTGAAAATTTCGTCAACTATCCGTTAATTATTAGCACATAAGGTTCACATGTGAGACTAAAAAGATAAAGTTAGTCTCACATGTAAGCCCCACGTGCTAACAATTAATGGAGAGTTTCGTTTTAGCTTAATATGTATGGCTCACGTGCTAATAATTAACAGAGAGTTGACGGAATTTTTAATTTTGGGAATAAATCCTAACAAACTTCACCATGAGGGCATAAATCCTATTTTTTTATCACTTGGACTATCTTCCAACTACCCTATCACCACGGGACTATTAATCGAATTAAACCTTTCGTTTACAATTTTGAATGCAAAACTACATTTCAATTGATCAAATAAAAAAAACTACTACATTTTACCGTGAAGTTAAAATCGGAATATACAACAGGTTGCATTAAGATGACAATTCTACGAGTTAAACTTCATAACCGTGAATAGCCATTCGAATGGGGTGAATTTGGGATGAAATTCGACTATTTTTCGGACATGAGAAAAAAACTTGAATGTTATTTGATTAGGGTTTCATATATGGTTATAGAAGTCCCCCTATTCGTATCCGTCCCTAAATATGCCCCAGATATACAATATATTAAAATATAATATGTATTTGTATTCACAATTATTGAAATTATTTGATAATTTGTTTCATCTTTCTCCCATGGTGGTTGTTGTATTTGCTTTTGTCATCTCTTCTATTCTTTCATTGGACCAATTTGTTTTAATTTGCTATCATATTTGACTTATCATAAACACCTCCAGAATGTATTGTTATGTTTTGATGATTTGGGTGTGGATATTAATGACGAAATTAGTATTTAATAAATTATAATGTATCAGTTGAACAAATAATTTTTTTGCATTGACGAACATGGATATAACCGTTAATCGATGGAGAATCTGGTACTCAGTGGGTATCATTATAGATAATCTCCAATGGTTAATTTGCGGTTATGAATTGGTTAGTTTTCGTAGTTATTGGGATAGATATGACATTTCCGTCTCAAACCAAACCGTTATCATCCCTAGATTTCTCATTTGAACTTGAGAAAATTTATGTGGAGGGATCAATGTGACGACCCATCCCTAAATTTCTAGGTAATTTCTCCCCGAGTGTATAAATTGACATTTCTGCCCTGGTTGGCAATGTGACGTGGATGTAGCATTGAGCGTTTATTTTATTTTCCTAGTAGCGTAATTAAATAGTGCCCATCGTATGAACGTGTGTGCGCGAGTTAGCCCAAATCGGAGTTATAACAAAAAAGTTACGCTCAGTCAAAGTACATTAACAGCGGGTAGAATTATACACGCGTGCGTGTCAATGCTAGAAACATTGTTTTTGATAAGGGGATAGATTTCATAATCTGAAAGATGTACAAACCTTATCATTTTCTTCTTTTAAAAATTGTCCTGTGTGCCCTCAAATCCCTCACATTCACTCATTTTTCCCTAAAACCCTCACAACCAATCAGATGCTCTCCTCACACCTCTCCCTCAATTAGAAAATACTCCCTCACTCTCTCTTTTCTCCTTCTCTCTCTCCCACACCCGTGACTCTCTCCCTTCTGCAATACACACACACCATCATCAAAACTTACAGGTCGAACTCAAAAACACCATTATTGTACTCATCTCAAACCCGCGAACCCAGCCGTACCAGCCAATGATGAAATGCTCAAGTCTCAGGCCGAGTTACAAGGTTTTAAGACGTAGTGAAGCTTCTACATAACTCCCTAGGGTCCCTAGACTAGGTTTCGAGTCGAGTTGACATCGAAACAAGCAAGTTCAAGGAGTTGAGTTTTAGGCCGAGACTTTCAAGGCATTTTCAGGCCATTTCCTATCTATTTTTTGGACTTTTGAAAGGTACAATCTTGTTCTACTCTTCATAAGCTTCATTTCCATATAAAGTACATCAAAAATGGTTGAGAAATGAAGAAGATATGAAGCTTTGAAAATTTTCACAATTTCCAGCGAAAATTTCCAGTTTCCTTCGAAACCAGACGGCGGTGGACGGCAGCGACTTGCGGAAGCTCACCGAAGAAGACGAAGAATTCTATCAAAGTTGACAGAATATTCTAACGGCGTCAAGTAACTCCGTTACTATTTAACCGAATATTCCGTCAATTTTGACGGAATATTTCTAACGTCTGTCAGTCTCTGTCAGGTACGTGGCCTGCGCATGGGACTACGTGTAGCTTTGGGCTAGGAGGCACGTGAAGGCATGTCCGGCCTCTGGCCGATGAGTGCTTGACATATACGGGTCCGTGATTTCGTGTAGATCATTTTCGTATATTCAAACCTTCTGTTTGAGCGAAGTATGAAAGATTTACCTAGCCCTTTTGAATATGTCCTATTTACTTTATTAGTTTAGTTATTTCACATATAGGTGAAAATTATCCCAAAGATGTATGAGTCAAGCGAGGCTAGGTTACAATCCGACCACGTACCAGTGAATGGGCATTTTCTTTTCATATATATATATATATATGTAAACCTTATAGTTTCCACAAATGCTTTTGAATTGATTTATGCATATCATGCCACTGTTGTTTTTGGATTGATATTACGCCTATTATGCCATCATTAAAGATGTTATAAGAAATGTTATAATGCTATGGAACGCTAAAACAATCCTACGGGATGAACAGGTAAGTTTGCATTGTTGACTAGAATTATTGAATGGGTATGGCATGTTTATATTTATGTAGTATGCTCATCATTGCTGCACCTCGGTGTTAATGCTCACCCGGGGCCAGTGCTAGTCTTTCACGTGTATGTTCATCTCTGCACAACACGCTCGCCTTAGATCCAAGTAGGTGTTAGTCATGTCGTACAGGTTGCATTAGACAACTCCGACTCGTAGGTGACCGCGATTATCGCTAGTCTTCACATGATTGTAGCACTAGAGCGTATTTATACATTACACCACATTCATGTTCATGTCAGAAACTATCTACATGAATTCATGTGCTAGCATAGATTGATGAGCAACCTGTTTTCATTATGCTATTGTTAAGATATTGTAGTTTGGCATATTTCTAGCATCATTGTTATTTACAGTTGTTTTCATACTTATACATAGTATGATTTTCTGGAAACTATCATGATATACAGCGAGG